ATGGCTTCAGAGCTTTACTGCCATTAAGTGGCATTAAAACTCATTTCACATCATTTGCATTGATTTGCTTATGTGTCAGAATTAACATAGTATTGTGTCTGAAGAGTGAATCAGCTTAATGAACCAGCAGCTCAGCTCAGATTCACTTGTGCTGCAGGGTACTTAAAATTCAGCAGCCACAGCCTGTGCCTTCTCTGTTTCACTGCCAGCTGAGAATGCAAATGAAAGGACAGTGCTGCCCTGGGAAAGAGTCAAGACAAAAAGTGTCACACGGAGACACTGCAAATGGAAATTCCTTTTGGGTTTTGTTTTGGGAGGAATTTTGTTGGGTATTTTTTTTTTTTTGGTTGGTTGGGATGTTTTGTTTTGTGTTTGGTGGGGGGTTTTTGTGGGTTTTTTGTGGGTCTTTTTGTTTGTTGGTTTGGTTTTTTTTCTGAGAAGTTTCACTAGAAATGGTAAATGAATACATCCCTATAAATAAACTCAGAAAACTGTTTTAGCCACAACTTTAAGTATTAGCAGTGTTGTTATTTGTTTGATCAGGTACAGGATGAGAGAATACTAAAGTGTTTCATAGGGAAAGTGCAAAGAGCGATTTCATTTTCATGGCCAGTAACTCTCTCCAGTTTCAGCAACTTAAATATACAAATTTAAAAGTTTGAGAGCAGGCTGCTGGCTCCATCCTTAGGGCCCTCAATGAGGAGCCTGTTACTGTCCCCTGAAGCCAAATCTCTGCAGAGGAGTGTTAGCACATCCCTGAAATCCCTTCCAGCATCCTATGGGGGCAGGTGGCTCCAAAGGTTCATGGGGGCAGCAGCTGTTTTTCTTTCTGGAGAAGGGTTGATGAAAAGGGAGGCTTTGGCAGGAATCACTGGGCTGTGAGCATCCTGCCTCCCAGAAACCACCAGATGCATCCTGCCAGGTCAGGCATGAAATGTAGGTGACAGAACTCATTGTGGGTGTCACCCTGGGAATGTAGGAAATGTAGGAGGGCATCCACCCTTCTTCCCTTGGGAGTACACGGATGACAACACAGCACTTCATCCTTTCCTGTTATGCAGCACTGGAGGTCTGGTTTGGATCAGAGTGCCCAAGTACGTGGGTGAAAAACTAAATGCTGTGCAGAATAAGGGCTATATTTAAGAGAAATTGTTTGAAATACCTAGAGAAAAATTGAAAGGAGCAACACTGATTTTGTCTGTGCCCAGCTCGATACCAGCCAGCGCTGGGTGTGACTTGAGCCAAAGGTGTGGGCACTGCCATTCCAGCAGCACTTCCTTGGGGCTTTTCCATGATGTGTGGCTCGATCCCAGCTGAAGCTGCTCAAATAGGGGCACAGAACTGAGTGCTGGGCCATCCCTGTCACAGGGGGAAAGCAGCTGGAGACAGCCCCATTCTGCTCCAAGGCTGCTACCTAGTTCTGCTAGGATCTCACATACACGTTCCATGTGAAGTTGTAATATGGAAGTTGTTTTGAACCACATATTCCTGTGAATCTCATGAATATTCTTATTCATATGCATAATCAGTTATGCAAATGTTAGTACTTATGATTCATCAATTTGGAGACCACAAAGTTACCCTCTTTGTTTGCTCTTGTTTTGTCCTGAGAAAGGTAATGTGAGAATGAATCAGAGCACAGCAAAACTCTCAGGTTGTTTCAGGACTGGATAGAGTTAATCAAAAGGAAATACAAAATCATTGAATCATCAGATGTTTTGTGTTAGAAGAGACCTTAAAGATCATCCAGTTCCCACCCCAAAGGACAAGCCCTTTTGTTAGCCAGAGACACAGCAACCAATCTGCTAGACCCTTTTCTCTCCTTTTAATTTTTTTTCTAAAATTGTTTTGTGCTATAAAAAAGGGACAGCTATTTATTTTCATAACATGAAAACACCACATTTTGTTCATATTGTTACCAGAACTAGTAGGGTTTGTAGCCAATGTCAAAGTTTGTTTCTTCCCCCAAATCCTACATACATACTGAATTGCCTCAGCTTCACTATAGAATAATCCTGAATTGTTGTCTGGTTTTTCCTGCTTAATTGTTTTAAGCACATTCTCCCAAATAAACTGGTTTCAGCCATGGGGTAGAGTTGTATGTTGTCTCTTCACTGGATTCCTTTTGCTGTAAGAGCAGGGCACCCACTGCAGGTACAGATAAAAATATATTTACACCCATGCTGCTGTTTAGTTGTCAGGCCAATAGGACTAAAGTCAATACAAAGCCCTGTTACTCCTGAACTGATTTGCTCTGGAGATCTATTACAAATTTTCATTCTTTGATGTGGAAGGCTTTTATAAAGGACTTAGGTTTACGGTGTTAGGCTGTATCACAGCAGTCAAAAGTATTTTGTTGCAATATTCATAAAAAATTTAGCGTTTCCTATGTGATTATGACTTCATTCTTGGTATTGTACAAATGTAAATAACATAGATACCCCAGTAATACTCTGAGGTAGGCTAATAAAAGATTGAAAATCTTAATTACATTAATTTTATCAAGTACCCCATAAAATAATTATATTTTTCCCTCCAACTCTGTGCAGAAACTGAGTCACAGACAAATTGAATCTCAGATGTATTAGGATGTGCCTCACAGCGAGCATTTTATGTTTGAAGTGCCTGGTTGAAACAAACAGTTCTAAGGCTCAGTGTGCTGGAGTCACAGATGCTCCTCATCCATAAAAACTCGTGCCAAGTATCCAAGGCTGGCATCCAAAAGGAGATTCACCACCAGTGAAGGTTCTTATAAGATGGAAACCATGCTGTCTGTCCTGACTGGGCTGTTACATGTCAGTGATGAGGTGACAGTAGTTTTCACAGCATGTAAGAGGTGTTACTTCCATGGTCCCCTTTGATCCACGTGTCCCTGTGTCCTACAGATGTCCTCTGCTCTTGGCAGGCCAGCCTTGCTCGGAGTGTGTGGTTTCTGTATGTCTGCTAAAAGCTCTTCTGGCAGAGCCTCTCGGAACTGGAAATGGTTCTTGTGGACTTGCAGAATACATTAGCACACAATGAACACATCCCAGCAGCAAGACTTTAAGACCTAATGGTGTTTTTCTCCCTTTTAGTGGTTTTCCATTTGCATCGATTGCAGCTATCTCAGCTCCCAGTCTGAGCACTCGGGGAACATTTGTTCAATAAAAACACAGAGGAGCATCTTCCCCAGAACTGCTTATTTAAATTTGTCTGCAAGCAAAAACTGAGCAGGCAAGTTAGGTGTCCTTTCAGTCCTTAAGGAACTGGAACACACTCTCCAGGCCCCTGAAATGAGCAGGGCTTGAGGACACTCAGAATGTCAGGGTGGTTGATCTTGCCTCACTCCATGGCATGTCACATCTGCCAACATCTGTACCTGCCTCCAGCCCCAGTCCCCTCTGGGCCTGAGGTATTGCTGCTTGACTGCCAGAGCTGCAGGGCTCCTTAAAAATCAAATTAAATGGAAGTCCAGCTGCAAGCTTGGAAAAGGACCAGACATAGGGTCTGAGTAGGGGGTCCTTTTTTATTCCAGCAAAGCTGAAGTTTATCAGTGAGAATTAAGATTTTCTTTGAAAGAAATGAATACAGTACTCTGTACCATTAAACCCACTATTAATAAAACATATCAGAGCCTAATTATTTTGCAGGTTTCATGCTGAGTGACTCTATTATTATAGAGTTAAGTCTCTTATTATGTAAAAGCCATCAAGAAAAGTTGTTTTCAAAGAAGAATAATAGGTAAAGAACAGTTACCCATATTGCATGTTAATTCCTTTAAACACAGAATATGCCAACTCTTCCCCAGATATGTCATGAATAATAGTTTCTTCAAGTAATAGATCCCTCCCTGAGTTGTTGGATGTCCAGTGTTCCAAGTCTAGGAACTTAAGAAAAAACCTCTGGTGCAATAATCTCTGGTGGAGCCCTGAGAGCTCCCACCAAGGAGCCAGACTTACCATGAAAATGCAACACTGTGTTCCCAAATACTCCTTTGAGTGGCCTGGGCTTTTATGCTCATTAATCTGCTCTCTTTTGATGGGCTTGAGTCCCCTTTGGACTGACTGATCATCTACACAAATCTATGGAAGCATAAGAAAAGAGCCAAACTCGGAGGTCTCACAGCCCATTTAAAAATACACATCCCAGTTCAGCCTCATGGTTTTTATGCATCTGAGTCTGTTCTGATTTATGCTGGCACCAAAGAACCACCCTTGGTTTGCTGATGTACATGGAATCAGAAACACAGATTTGGAACCTGAATTTTCTGACTGGTGGTGGATGTCTGCTGGTTCGTAAATGGGTAATAAACACAGTTTAAATCTGTTTGTTCACAATTCAGAGCTGCCCTAGGAATGTAACCAAAAATACAGCTGGGGTACATACACGTGTCACATAAAAACAGGGTGCTCACAAGAGCAATTATCTGCTGCTGACACTGATTTTTGGCAAAAGATATGATCAATCTTTCTTCTGAAAGGCAGCTGAAAACAATTTTAGTTTGTACAAAGGCTGTACAAGAGCTTTACAGAAAGCAAACTGAGGCTCAGGAGAAATATGCTCTGTTTCTTTTTTGTCTCTGCTCCTAATTGTATTTTTACTGCTGACTGGGATACTATTAAAATAATGAAAAAGAAGGAAAAGCAACCATTAAAGGATTTGAGCCATGTGCCATGAGATAAAGGTAATCCTGAGACTCACAGGAGTATGAAAATGACAACAACAAAGTAATACCCGTGCTGAGTGTCGTTTTAGAAATAAGCAATCAGAGAGGAGGGTAATGCAAGACAAACCTCCAGCACTCCCATCCTGCCACTGCGCCTCCCTGTAGTGGACCAGACAGTTCAACCTGCCTAAAAGAGTTGTAATGGCAAGGCCCAGATTCCCTTTCATAAACAAAGAGGTGAGAGCCCTACTTGTAGTTTGGGGAAATGTGATGAAAAATACAGGATTTCTGTAAAGCTGAGATCTCCATCTGCTTTTCACCTGAACTGATCTTTGGGCATTTTTGTTGTTCACAGCCTCTGGCCTCTCCTCTTCTCCATCTACCCCAACACAAGTGACCAAGCAGCCCACGTTTCCTCTTGAGTCCTATAAGCACGAGCCTGAGAGACCAGAAGCAAGGATTCACTGTTCCTCACCTCCGGACACAGGGCAGAGATTTTCTCTGCCTCCATCACAAAGTGCAGCCAAGCCTCCCATCATGACACCAGCTCCCTGTGCTACCTCAAAACCTGTAAGTAAAGCTCGTGTCCAGTTTTCCACTGGGAAATGTGCAGGGCTGTGTGTGGACTGTGTCTTGTGTTGCAGCTGATGGGCTGCAGTCCATTAGTGGGTGTCCATAGGGGACAGAATGAGAACAAGGTTTTTTACCTCAGTTTACTTCAGACTTTGGCTGAGAGGGAACTGGGAATCCAGAGGTGGTGGCTCCCTTCTGATCTATCCAAATGGTAACTAATCTTTGCACTGCCTTCAAAGTGAGTTTTGCAATGGCTTCAGATCCCAGGATATGCTGCTGAGATGCTACCCTAGAGGTGGATAAAATTTTATTTAGGATTTTCTTTTATCTCCCTTAAGAAGAGCTGATGAGAGAGTTAGCAGCCAAAGAGAGCATATAAAAAAGAAATTCACAGTCTGAGCTGCAGGGGCTCTGAGTTCCTGCTGCCTCTGGAGTCTGAGATGACTGGGACAGCTGGTGACTAATAGCACACGTTGCTATCACACCTCCTGCCCCAGCCCAGAGAGTAGAAAAAGAAGGGCAGCACTACCAGGACATTTATCCAGCCCCCACGTAGCAAAGGTGTCTTCATAAGAGTGGTTTCTTCAGTTCCTGGTAGTGCATGAACTCAGCACATGAATTCCAGCCTCTGATATTCTCCAGTACTGCACAGCTCTGTGCCTCTCCCCTCTCCCTTGGCCAGCCTGAGCCTCAGGGTTATCACTCTCCTTTTCTTTCTCCTCTGCCTTTTTGCCCCCTTTTCCTTTTGTGTTAATTCCTTTGCATTACCTATATCTTTCCATTCCTCTGACTCATGGAACCAGCAGACCGTGATCTGTCACCAGAGTAAACCACCCTGCATCTGCCTTGCCCAGCTTTTCTTCCCTTTTTTCCCTCCAAAATATAAAATCTTCAACATTTTTTCTGTCTAGAAATCCAGAACTGTAAAGGGCATTCAGGTTCATGAGGTCAGTTGCTCTGTTGAACAGCTATGAGTTCTGTTTCATTCCAGCTCTCGGTAATTTATTTAAAATCAGGAAGTTTCCTCCCACTCACCCATGGGAAAGCTGTTCCAGGATCTGAGCACAGTAACACAGCAACCCCAAAGCCTTTTTGCTTTGGTGTGAGGTACCTCCAGCAGCAGCAGCTGTTGTGATGCTGAAAGCATTTGGGTCCTGGATCAGAGTTCATCTGCTGCTTTCAAATCATTCACACATACCCCATAAAACACCTGCCCTATTTTGGGGGCCCCTTCTGTAAAGTTTAGGAAGTCTCTGATTTTCAACAAAATTTTTTCATGGGTTAACACTATTTGCTGTTATAATTAATGGCCTTTTTCATTCATTGTTTGCTACATCCTGTTGTACCAGTAGCCAACCTTTGTTTTTTCAGATCAAGCAAGACAAACTCTCCCTACAAATTACAGACTTTCTGTTTTTCTGCTATGCAAAAGTAAATAATTAAAGTATTAAATGAAATAAGTTCTACATTTATAGTTAGGGAACTCCAGCAGTAACTTTTCTGCAGCCAGCTCACTGCCTTGCCATGTCAGTATATTCTTCAGATGCAGAAATTATTAAACCCAAAGGTTTGTAGGATAAAAAAATATTTTGGGTAGGTTTTACTCAATCAGTCATATTATTTGCATATGAATGTGTTCATCTGTGCCATGCAGCTACAGAAGAGTCTTTTGTACCTGTTAGAATAGAAGTGAAGAAACAGCATAATCTTGGCACATTCCACTGACTGAAAGACTGAAAAGTTTGTTTTGTTTTTGATTATTTGCTGATTCAGACAACATGAAGTTGAGCAGAAGATGCCAGAATAAAGAAACAGAATTCTCAGCAGGTTTTTATGAACAGTTGTGGCTGTATATATGTACAAGAGAGAGTCTGGGGAGTAACTCAGAATGCTGGACTCAGTTCTCTCCTGCTCAGAAGATACAGAAATATGTGGGATGTGTAGCACCTGATTGTCTGGTACCTCTGTACTCATTTATGTCTGAGAGCAGTGAGTGTGCAGGGCTGCCAGTGAATCATTAGGGGTTTGGTTTACTTGGCAATAAATGTCAGCAGCCACAGAGCAGTGAGGAGCAAAGCTCTGGATGTTTAATTTTCAACAGAGACTGAAAAGAGAGATTAGATTTGCCATTCTCTTCTAGGAGAAACTGTTAGAGAGAAAGGCTGAGTTCCTGCAGAAGGACGTGAATCTGAAGCTGATGAGTGTTCCCTCAGCACTGTCATGTATTTTGATCCCTGCAAATTATTGACCCAACATTCCTTTGCAAATACAACAGCACTATACAAACATTCTAGACTTGAGTACTGTATTTCCAACAATTCATTTATTCTGAGCTGTGTTAATAAATACATCATTTCACAATCATGTGCCATAAACAAATCTGTAAGAGGCAAACTCAATTTATTCTTTACTTACATCACTATTTGCTGGCAGAACAATTTCAGTTATTTTAAAAACACACTATAAATTTGATGATAAATGTGGCCATGCTGTTAGGTGATCAGTTCAATGATATGGAATCTTCTGTGTTGACATCTGAAATGAGAATGACTCTTATCTACAGGCTTCTGTCAACTTAAATCTCATTTACTTATTACATTGTTTAACTGGTAATGATAATGTGTGGGACCCCAGAACTATTATAAATTAATCATGATTGCTATATATACCACAGTAGGAAAGAGGAACTGTTTAAATAATATTTCCAGACCTGGAAATATTATTAAAAAAAAAAAAAAAAACACAGAAGAACAGATAACTATAGGAAGATATATAGTATCATGACTTGGAATTAATCTTAGCCTATTTTTATAATTAATGGCATTTGAAGCTTGTTCTGAAATTGTTTTTGACTTCTCTGAGACTTGGGTGCAGAATGGTTAAATCTGTTCAGTAAAAGAGAAGACATGGAGGGAAAAGTACTTATTTCCCAGCAGATGTAGCCAAAACCTTTCATGTTTCAGTAGCACTTCCAACAGTGGGTATTTTCATGTGGCTTTTAAGCCTTTAGTTCTGGGGAGGGGAATAAATAGTGGGAGACAGTTCCTGAGAGAGGGAGACCCTCCTTCAGCAAGCATCATCTCCACACAGTACACAGAGCTGAGCAATTAACCTCATGCTAAATAGGTGTCCGTGGTAATCACCAAGGTCTGGATTTATCCCACCTAACTTTAGAAACCTTTCTGAGCTGCTTAAGCTGGGAGAGCAGCAGCTCCAGCTGTGTCTGCATGCCCCAGAGAGGCGTTTGCAGGGGATGAATCAGATCCCAGGGGCTGAGGAGCCTCTGGGCTGCCTGGGAAGGAAGGGGTTGACTCCAGGTGCTGCATTTCTGATCCAGGCACCGCCAGGTGCCCAGAGCTGGAGCTGCTGGGGCTGCCACACACCAGTGCAGCAGCTCTGCCAGCCTCTCCCCTGCATGTGTAGGTGTTCCTGGTGGCTGAGTTTGAAGGTTGTAATGAGAGATGCAGCTGATAAGAGATCAAAGCTGTGCCTGAAGATTACTGTGTGCTGCATTAAACGGCAAAGGAGCAATTTGGTTTCTCACAATGCAGCTCACTATTCTGTACTTTGGCCTTGTGTTGTTTGGATGGTGTAACCTGCAGGCAGTAAGTGGTAAATGATAACTCTTTTCTAGTGTGACATTAGGAACCATGATAGAAATGCAGAGAGGTTGCAAATTCAGTACCAAACCTGTTTGCCCTGTTTCCACCTTGTCTGTATTTTGAAGTGGAACGTGGTACATTGGGCATTATGTGGCTTGTGGAAGCCCAGAGCACTGGGAATATTTCTCTGTCTGCTCTGGGGGGCCCTGACCCCCAGGGGAGCACTGACTTTGACCCTCACTCATGGAGAAAGTTTCCTAGACTTCAAGATAGACCAGAATCCACAAAAGTGTGAAATAGATTATAGAGAGCAGTGTAGGTGTGTCACTTGGTGAGAACTTTAGGTTTTGGGATTTTTAGTATGTTGTGGATGGAAGCAAGATGGAGGGCACAGGGTGTTGTCCTGGGTTTCTTCTTCATGCTTCTTCTTCCTTCTTCTTCTTCATGGGTCTGGGTGGCATTTTGTACTTGGGCAGAAAATTCTGCATTGGGGGATCTTTGGGATCAGTTATTGGGTTAAAAGGGAAAATAATCTAGGTGTCAGTTCTTAATTGGATAGTTTAGTCTTAAAAGACCTTGGAACAAGACACTGTTGGCCATTTTGTGCCTTCTAATGAAAAGCTGCCGAGCTCACAGTACTGAGACTGTTTTACTGCTAAGAAATAATAAACACCTGAGTCCCAAACATGAACTGCCATCTCAAGTGCCTTCAATCCAGACCCAGAGAAACCAACAACTGGGACCCCCACAGTGACTGTATCCTTTTCTATCATCCTTTCTTCCTCCCCTGATGCATGACACTGTGAAAATAGCACTGCTCACTGCAAACACAAGCATTTCTGTGCTACCTCATGCTCCTTTCCCAGCATGAGAGGAGCCCAGGCCACAAGGTGCTGGCTCCAGACTAGAAAGGTCTCTTTTGGTGGAAAACAAGGCTGGGGCTTCCTCTGCTCACAAGTGACAAATGCAGAACATGTCTACAAATAGTGTTTTCCATATGATTGTGTAGTGAGCCACTGTCCTCCAAAGAACTTCCAAGCCAAGTAATTTCCCAGAATGTTCTGAACAAGAGGAAAAGTCAGCCAGGAGGTAGTCAGAGACTTACCCTTAGCTTCTGTGAGTGAATCCTGTTAAAACTGCAGAGAACACAGAAGGGAGTCTGGTCTGTGTTCATTTTGCACAGTCCTTGCTGCTCCAGCACATGGGAGAGGAGAGATGTAATGTACAGCTGGGACTCTCTTCCAGCCCTGGGTAAAAGGGAGAAACCAGATTGTTCCTGCAGCTACTCACTTGTTGAACAGTAGCACTTCCCTGCAAAGCTATTCATGCTGTTTCTTAGCCAAAATGTAGTAAACTCCCAAACAGGGCTGTTAACTTGCTCAGAGGGAGAGAGAGGCTGTTACATCACACCCTGTGCTGGCAAGGAGCCTGGGAGCCAGGATGTGTGCAGCAGGTCCTTTGGTTTGGCTCTCCAAAAAGCTGTACCACCTATCAGAGCTCCATGATCGGCTGGGTGAGTAAAGAGATTGAAATCTGATGAGGAGAAAGAAAAGTGTTCTTTGATTCTGAGGTGGTCTTAAAAAAAAAAAAAAAATGGTACAGGCTGGGCAAAAAAAGGAATCCAGTTTTCCAGTGTATCAGAACTCCTTATTTTAGCATTTGTGTGGTTTAAGGCAGTGTGAGTGTGCCAAGACATTACTGTGATTCACACCACAGTAAACTGATTACCAAAATTAGAGCCCCAAAGGCTGTCATTTACCAGGGACAGTAAATGGCAGTGCTAGTGTGTCCAGGCTTCTTTTAAATGCCTCAACAGCAGCACTCCTGGGAGGTGATTGTGTTCCCTAAGAGATCCCAGGAGCTGTAACAAGCTATCCTTATTTAATCATTTTTCCCTATGGGAGCTGTTGCTATCCATGTGAAAATGTGTTTAAATTTAAAATATTTCTCAATAGTGGGCATATAACTAATTAGTTGCAAACCTAGTGAAGTAATCACTCTTGATGAACCCTACAACAATTATGAAAATACTGCTGGGAAAATGTTTGGAGCCCACTTGATTTGATTTCAGTCTCCTTTGACAGAGCATGATGGTGCCTCCACTGAATCAAATATAAGTTCACAGGAGAATTCTTTAATATGATTGGAAAGTCCATAGTGAGGTTTAGTGGGACATACAGAATAAATGAACCTGAACTTCACAAAAACAGAAAGCTTCAGCTATATCACACTACTTTTTAATCACAGCTCCCATTTTATTAATATTCTGTTTCCTCACTTCCTTTCTCCCTATTAGTCATATCTTTTGTATCCCATTTGGTGTTTTTCTCCCATTTTAGTATTTAGAATATGCAAAAAGCATCTTGCTATCCCTTTTATATTGGTTAATTTGTTGGGTTTTTTTAAGCTACTTACTGGTTTTGAAAGAAAAAATGTTCAACCACAACCTCCTGAAACACTGGTGTCCTCATATATTTGTATTCTGGTTGCAGTGTCCAGATTCGTACAATCAAACTTACATTGCAGAGAAATTTTTTTGCATAAAGATAATTTTTTCTGCCCTAAGGAAATGCGTGTCTGTGTCAACTTGTGGCTTTTTCTGCAGCTACAGAAATAATTTAATCAACTATCCATGGGTTCACTCAGTGGAGAATTTATTTTAATGACATGAAGTCCTACAATTCCTGTTCCTCCTAGTCCTAGATCAAAAGGAGGAAGGCAAGGTGGAAAGGATGAATAGCCAGAATGCTGAGTCCAATCAATTCCCAGCTGCTTTGACAGCTCTCATAAGGCTATAAGTAGCTAAGGCAATTAAAACTAGAGCATCTCTGGGGCTTTTTTAAGATACTTATTGGTACCGAAATCTTGACCCCAGCACCCTGAAGACTGAGTTAGTAACTTAAACCTAAATTACTTTTATCACCCTAAATCCTGCACTATGCATGGTATAAAAAGGCTAAAGCTAAGGATCTGGCCTCGTGTGTCTGTATAAATAGATATCTTTTGGTTAAGTACCATGCTGTAAGAGGGAGCTGGAGGGACAGCCTCATTTTACCCATTGAACTGATTTCTCATGGCATGGTTTATCTTGAATTTTAGACTTGTTAATTTAATAAGCATCCTGTTATTCTGCTTAGAATATCAGAACTTCTGGTAGGAGTAACCTCCATCAGTGATTAGAAGCCAGATGCCTACTCTGTGATTTAATGTAAAGCTGCAGTTTCATGCAGGGTCACTGACAGTTTCTTCCCAGCTGTATCTGAACAATTTTGGAACACTAAAATTATTCACCATCAGGGCTGTTTATTCACAAAGCAGTATGGATTATAGAGCAAAGCTTTCCCATGAGAGTGGAGGAGAGATAAACAGCTTTGAACCTGTTTGGTTGCACCTTTCCTGCTTCTGGATTGGACTAGAGGGAAAGCGAAATAAGAATATGGAAAAAATTATATGGAAGGGAACTCTTAGAATTCCTAGCCATCTTCATCTCTCTTAACCCAATTTTGTCTATATTTTATTCTTAGATACAGTCTTTAATGGCCAACAGAGCTTTGAAGAATGTAAAAGGCTTGTTGATACCAGGAGGAAATTTTCTGTGTAAAGCAGTCATATTCCTTTCTCACTTTCTCACAACATTCCCCAATCCCTTCCTCTGACTGGATGAAATAAACTGGCGAAGTTGGAAGAAAAAAAAGGGGACATCCCAAAAAGGGCTCACTCCTTTCTCCTAGCTTTCACATTTTATAGTGTCACTACCTGCTTGTGCAAGAGGAGAGCAATAAAGCTCTTTAAAAATGCAGCTGGTTGATGTGGTTTGGTTTGTTGGTTTGTTTTTTTTTTTCTTCTTTTAAGATTACAATCAAGCAAGTTTGGCCATTTGAAAGTCAGCTGCATGGGCTGCTGAGTCAGAGGAGCACTAGATACCATCTTGGCAGCAGCCTGGAAAAATGTTTCCATTGTGCTGGTGAAATGAATGCAAAATATTTATTCTTTGAGCTTGTTCACAACAGCAGCTCAGTTCTCAGCTGGAACCGAGGGTGGGGCCATGTGAAAGACATTTATAGGAAGACAATAATGATTTGTACAGGGCCTAAGGTGTACATAATCTTATTTTATGATTAACAAAGGACAAGGCTCCAGCCATATGGAACTCATAAGCTGAAGTGTAAACCAGTGAAGTAATCAACAGAGAATAAAAGAGAAAAAGTAATGGAGGCAGAAGGTTAGCAAAAGAAAGGAAGGGAGCAGAATTCAGGAGGGGAGGGATTACTTTAGTCTTTTTGCATATTTAGGGTTACAGAAAAATGCCAGTGTTAAGGTTAATACCTTGGACTTTTGAAATTTTGATCTGTCATACTTTTTCACTTACAACTGCACAAATCAGGTTATCTGTGGTATGTAGAGAATCTTCTTCCTTGTACCTCTGAACAGAAAGTTCCTAACTGCTTTTTTTGTGGTATATGAGCACATATGATTCAAGCAGAAAAATAAACATGCTTTTTGCCCTGGGGACCTTATTGTCCAAAAGCCTGATCTAGCAAAACAGGCCAGGCAAATTCTAAATCTGTAAGAAAGGCTTGGCTCAAGCAGGGTTGTTCCTAAACACTACTTCCAGTGCATGCTTGCAGAAGAGATTCTGAGTGTAGCCATAACAGAGTTAGCAATGACAGAAGGCACTGAGGAAAGGTAACCTGAAGGTTACAGCCCTGGGTTTGGTTGGGGTTGCTATGTTTTTATGTTGCTGAATCTCAGGTGCTGTTTTGTTCTGGCTGATGTCAGTGTGGTGATGGCCTTTATCCAGAAAAACACTTAAATGTGTGGTTGGATTGAAGCACAGTGGCAGCTCTGTTGGAGTCAACAGTACTGGAGCACTTAAAGCTGTGTGTGTGTCAAGTTACTTTGCTGGATCAGGGTCTTTGTGCAATTTTTATGGTCTATTAAAATATTGTAAAATGACAACAGCAGGTACTGAATATGAGAAAGGAAGCTGAAGGACAGAGGATAATAAATGAGGTGAGGAAAATATTAAAGGTTCAAAAAAAATTGGAGAGGAGAGGAGAGGAGAGGAGAGGAGAGAGGACAGAGAGGTGAGGAAAATATTAAAGATTCAAAAAAAGATTAAAGAGGAGGGGAGGAGAGGAGAGGAGAGGAGAGGAGAGGAGAGGAGAGGAGAGGAGAGCTCTTGGTGACAATGGGAAATTGCTGCTGAGGGAGTGGCAGGGAGGGCAGCAGCTGGAAGGTCGCTCTCTGCCTGCTGTTGTGTGTCTGGCATTTCTTTGGGTGTCAGGACTGTATTTACTTGGAAACATTCATGGTGTGTCCTACCTCAGGTTGGAGCTCCTTGTGTAAATGGGAAGAGCTACTGATGCAGACATGGCTTATGAGAGAAGACACCTGAGCCCTTTCCCACCCCTTTCCCTTGAGCCCGCCAGAAACAACTGCACAAAAGCAAATCCCAACAGACATCCTGCACACAGGAACAGGACACTGCCAAAGCTGCTCTCTTAGCTGTATTCACTGTGAAGAATACAGAATCCTTCAGGCTGGAAAAGACCTCTAAGATCATTGAATCCAATCTTTCACTGATCACTGAGTGCCACATCCAGTCAGTTCTTGAACACCTCCAGGGATGCTGACTCTGCCACCTCCTTGGGCCTCCATTCCAATGTTTAACAACCATTACCATGAAGAAATTCCTCCTGATGTCTAAACTGAACCTCCCCTCATGCACCTTGAGGCTATGGCCTCTTGTCCTGTCGCTGTTTCCCAGGAGCACAGCCTAACCCCAGCTGGCTGCTCCCTCCTGGCAGGAGCTGTAGAGAGTGAGAAGGTCTCCCCTGGAGCCTCCTCTTCTCCAGGCTAAACACCCCCAGCTCCCTCAGCTGCTGCTAACAGAATTCACTCCCCAGACCCTTCTCCAGCTCTGTTGCCCTTCTCTGGACATGCTCCAGCCCCTCAATGTCTTTCTTGTGAGGGGCTCAGAACAGGACACAGCACCTGAGGTGTGACCTCACCTGTGCTGACTACAGAGGGACAATCATTTCTCTCGTTGCTGGCACACAATTCTTGATAGAAAATCGTTGCCAGAGAAAGTGCACAGCTCTCTTTCCTGGAGTGTGCCATGAGGGCATGGCTATGGTACAATATGAACTGGTCATTAAGTAGTTGCTTCCATCATCAAAGATTTTATGGGTACAGAGGTTATACTTTGAAGATATAGATGCTTTTTTTTTTTTTTCTCATGCCCTCAAGGATTTGGCTGTTGCTATTTCAGGGAAAAAATAATGGAATTCAATGAATGTTTTAGTTGAAGAGTCATTAAGGAAAGCAAGAGTTTGAAGAGGAGAAAAATAGTGCCAGTAGCTGATCAGAGAGACCTGGCTGCTACCATCTGCCCCATCAGAGATCACTTGTGCAGCCCTAAGTCACTTGGTGTCTCAGTGCCTCAGTTTCCCATTTATAAAAAAATGGGGCTACACTGCTCTGTCAGAAATGTTACAGTGATAAATACATAAAAAAGTTCTACATAACTCAGATATTTTTTGAACAGGAGCTACAAGTGGCTTAAGATAAGCTAACCATAGATAGAATCTGTTGTGTTTAAAGTTTGTAGCAACAGGCTCTCATGCTGCAGGCTGTACTGTGGCCAGGAAGCCCTGATGTTTTCGGAGCACATCAAGATTTACACAAAAGATCACTGTGAAGTTGGCTGCTCTTCTGAGCCCCAGGGAGGCATGTCAAGAAATAATTTCAGCTCTTCTCAGACTTTAACTACAGACTCAATCTGCATCTCAGGTTACGTGCAGTGAACCCAGCATTTGCCATTTCCACACTGAAAGCACCCAGTGCCCATGAATGAGCCTTTGTATCTGCATCTCCAGCAGCTCTGCAGGGACACAAGCGTGGGGGCTGGCTTGCTGGAGGTGTATCCCTGGACCTTAGTGTTGAACTAATTTCAATTTTTTTTCAATTCCACTTCCTGGAATAGAGGGAAAAGCCTTACCACTATTTGCATGTCCCTTTATGATCTTGTTTGTAGCCACAAAACATTGAGCTTGTGTGCTTGACAGGTTTCTTGCTCAGCACAGCCCTTGTGTGAGTCCTTCCAGAGGGTGTCAAACCACAGAAGCAGCACTGAGCACAGTCTGCTTTCACTGGCAGTGTACCTGGAATGAGGGAAGGATGCAGTTAAGAGGCTGTGAAAAGGGAAAACAAGCATGGCAGAAGGAAGGTATCCATTGTGTGAGCTGTCATTGCAGATTTATTTTGTGCATAACAATAAATAAAAAAAAAAAAAAAAAAAAAAAAAGAAGTAGCACACAAAAACAAGGCCTGGAGTGATCAGCAGTACATCTGGAATGAATTCAGGAAGAGGGTTAGGTTCCTCAAGCTATGCACATTCAGTGCCATCTGAAAAACAGCTTTTAGTCAAAAATTAATTTACTTGGAGATTACAGGCCAACTGTAGTCTCTGTGTTGAAGGAGGTTTATTAATATATTGGTTTGTTTGTGCATAATAGCAGCTACTGTGAGATAACAGGTCTCACAAGGCTGAGTGGTGCCCCTGGTAGCACTCATGCCTCGAGTTTGTCAGCTCTGGGGTGGGCTTGAAATCTAACGCAAACACACAAGCCCCAGGTGCTACAAGGAAGTTCTCCTCAGTGTTCAAAGTCCTCCTAGAACTGCAGTGGAAAAAAGGCATCCTTATCTGTGCCTGCCTCTTTGAGAGAGCTCCCAAAAGCTCCTTCTGGAGCCCTCCTGGGATCCTCAGTGTGATGAGCACTGCTCAAGTGGCCACCTGTAGCAGCTGCTCCTTTTCTGCTCAGCTGCAGTAACCTGCACCTTGTGGCACAGCAGCTCGTGCCACGGAGGAGTATTTGTTCAGCCCAGGTCTATGCCAATTTCTCAAAGTTTTATTGAGGTTGTGGGTGACTCAGCTCTGAGCTGAAGGTTGTCTGAGTTTCTCAGAAATGCACCTTTGTAACTCTGCCCTACATCTGATGCCCTGGTTCGACAGATCTGATTTCAGCCTTTCAGAACTGCCGATGGTTGCGAGAGTGATGGGCTGGGAGAGCTGGGGCTGCTCAGGGTGGGCAGCAGAGAGCTTCAGGGAGACCTCAGAGCACCTTCAAGGGCCTTAAGGGGCTGCAAGAAAGCTGGAGAGAGACTCTTCACAACGGCATGTAGTGATTGGACGGGGAAATGGCCTTGAGCTGAAGGAGGGAAGGTTTAAAATGGATTTTAGGAAGAATTTTTTTACTGTAAGGGTGGTGAGGCACTGGGCTTGAAGCTGTGGACTCCCCATCTCTGAAAGTGCTCAAGGCCAGGTTGGATGGGGCTCTGAGCCAAGGTTGTCTAGTGGAAAGTGTCCCTGACCAGGGCAGGGGGTTGGAATAAAATGATCTTTAAGGTCCCTTCTGACCCAAATTATTCTGTGATTCTAAAATTACATTTTGATGATAGACTACAATTTGGTTACTAGAATTTTGTGATATTTACTCGAGCCTTAAGTGTAGTATCAACTAATTTCAGGCTTATTTTAGAGGAAACATGTTTCATTTTAAGTTTAAAAAATATCACTGAAAGCTGGTGTAACAAGTGTTCACTCATTGAAGTCACTACTCATGACTGAGCTTTGAAATATAACACTGAGATGAAGAAAGCAAAAGGGTAGATAGTAGATGTGTTTATTTAAATCAGATTTGGCTCTGAGTATTTTTTTTTCATTTGTTATTCTCAGTGGCCTCGGTTCTGCAGATTACTCATCAGTACTCTGGCCTCAATCCAGCTAAAGTACTTAAGTAAGTGCATAACTTTAACTAACATGAATAATCCTGTATTCAATGCCAGCAAATGAAGACACACATCCATGTGGGCTCACTTTCTTCTTTCCCATTCACTTTAAATTAGTGAATGTGTACCTATGTTTTACCATTAGTAGTATCTTAATCTGTTCTGTTTGCTTTATTTTTTTTTGAAGTACATTTTTCACAAGAAAATATCTACTGTAATCATGCTTAGTACCTGATTGCTGCAGCTCTCTCCAGCAATAATTCCCTCTTGCCCTTACCTGAGCCCCTGAGTGTGATGAGAGGCTGGTCCTATTTCAAAGAACCTAAGGAGCACTCCAGCATATGTGTAAAAACAGCTGAAGTACATCTTTTTGATCATATACAATAACAAATATTTAAGACAAGAACACTTAACAGCTCTGGAAGAGATTAAAACTAAGTGGCATCCCTGTGTTTGCAGTCAGGTAGAACACTTGTAACATCTGTATTCACAACAAACTCAGGTTAGCTGCTCACAAGTACTTGACTTCTTTGAAAGTTGTTCAGAAGGACAGAATTTAAATTGTGTGGCTGTTTGATTAATAACGTGTCTCACTGATAATTGTGATTTGGACTCCACCTATTCTCAACATGAGTAATCTGAGGAAGGAATGCTGGCCACAAGGGCTTGAATAGAGAATGCCTCTGATATTCTTGACTCTAAACTCCACCTTATCTGAGTAGCAGAGCGATACAGGATCAGACACAGCTACAGATTAGAGGTTATGTAAACAAATCCTGCCTCTTTTCTACTCCTGCCTTGATTTCTCTCTAGGAGTTTAGCTTGGGATCTAGTTTATTCCTTCATATTTTACTTTCTTTGAAGTTTATTTTTCAGAAGCGCTTAACTCTTCTCTCACTGGGACCATTTTTCTTTGCCTTAAACTGAGGAGCTGGAGGACACTGTGTGCCACACAGGTTCTTGGTTTCTGGTGTTAGATCAAAGGAAGTTCTGTAAATCTATTCTCTTTCGCAATTAAGTCAGGAACAAAACTCACTGGGATTAAACTTCAAGTTCATTTCCATACAGAAATATTTAGGAAGGGCTCACCACTAAAAATGTGGAATCTCTCTGCACATTTATTTCATGTATCTCCAGGGTAAGCAAATTCCAATACTCAGTATTGCAGTGAGGATTTAATAGAAATGAAGGTTGTCTATTTTATCATCTTTCCCAGTGCAGCATGCACTCCATGTTTTTTATTCTTTTTTTGTTTTGTTTTTGGCGGGGAGGGGGGGGCAGGTTTGTTTGTTTTTAAAAAATTTTTGTTATTTATTTAGGATTTGGCTAAAATTGATTGTTGTTACATTTGTGTTATCCATTTTACCTCCTAAAGATCCCCAACTGCTTATCACTAATAATTAACTCTGTAAAGTAATTAATATCATAGCTGTTATGTGGGAGGACACCTGTAGCAGGAGGCTGGTTACTTGTTAGAAAATGTAAAAGCAATATACAGCTGTTCTGTATTTCATGCCACAAGACTCCTGCTCAGGATCCCTGGCGAGTCACATTCTGATGAGATTGGGATGAAGTAAAAAAATCCTTCCAGGGCAGAGTTGTTATGCAGTGGCAAGCTCTGTCTGAGCTGTTTTGAAATGGAATCATTGGAGTTTCTTTATACTGGAAATACATTTAGAATAGATACTTCCTCACTTTCATACCTGTTGTGGGACAGTTGTGTCCCTGACTCATCAGATTAGGGACAGAGCACCCAGCTGGATCCAGTAAGGACTCAGAGGGGAACATTGTCAGTGCCAGGCTTTTTATGGGGCTTGGTTATTCTGTTCTAAACAAATTGTAAAATCTGAGCCGCCACCACCTTCATTTGCACATGCCAGGCACAGACGTGATTGTAGCATTTGGTATTTCAAAAGCCTTTTAAGACTAAAGCAATTTTTTATTATATTCCTTCTGGATATGGGGAATAAAAACTCCAATCCAGTATTTTGTATGAGGCGTTCCCTTCCCCACTGGTTTATTTGGTGCATGGAGCAGTTTCCTTAGAATAAATGGTAGAAATTACAGTTCCTGCCCAGCTGCTCTGGTCACCCTGAGGATTTTGAGGTTTTTGAGGTGAGACCAGAACACTGGACAGACTCAGGGACTGCCAGCCTTCGCACACAGGTGGCACTTCCAGCCCCAGAAGGGATCCAAGCTGGGATCCTGACCTCAGCCTCAGTGATTCCAGTGTTCTCAGCTGTCCTAAACCCACCAGTATCAGTTACCACACTCTAGCAAAAAACAAGTAGCAGTTTAATTTACAGTTGAGCAGATGAAACCTTTTTTTTTTTTTTTCTTTTTTCCTGGTAACTTGTCCTTTTCCACTCCACAAACCAGGCTAAATTAAACCAAAAATAAGCAGAAAGTGTTCTAAATTAATTTTACACAGATTGCAAGAGAAAAAACATATTTATGCCATACATTTGGGAAAAACTGTAAGTTGTTCTTTGACAGTTCATCAGGAGAAGAGTTGTTAACTACTTCAGTTGTGTAGAACTGTAATTGTAGTAGGGAGCAGTAGCAAATGGTGGGAAAATTACCATTTGTAGTTTACTCTTGCATTCAAAATGGCTTTGCCTTGATTTGCATTTAGATGGGAATTCCTTCTGTTGCTCTTCAATCCATTAGGTTCTATAAGGTAAGTAGTCTTTTTTTTTTTTTTTCTGAAGTGCTGGGAAGGGTATTCAGTTTTAGTGCTGAGCTGTGCAGGGGCATCCTAGCATGTTCATATTAAAGCCATCAGGAAAGAGAAAGGGCAGCCTTGAATTTACCTGGAAATGCCTATTTTTAAATAAAGCACAGGTAACATTTTTGTTGTAATGCCTGAGTAGGTCTGCTCCACACAGACTTGTGATTTGCAGCAGGATTGCTTTTTTGTAGGTTGTTCTTTCTATTCCTATCCAGTCACCAAAGACTAATATGCAATCTTTATTATTACTCTGACAATATTTGTTTTAGAATATTTCTATTTCAGAATTAAGGCTACTTGTTTGAAGAGAGGGGGAAAACAAAATTTACATTTGTATAGATGGTTTGTAAACTGGGTTTTGTACATAACATACATATAAAGAATTATCACTGAATTACCATACTAAGACTATATATATTTTTCTAAAGATTGGACAAAAATAGAAACTAAAAAAAAAAAAAAACCCAAGCCTGGAAGGGACATTAAAAATTCATTTTCCCCTATCAGACAATCAACTATATGGAAATAATAATGAACAAATGGGTTTTTTTTAATCCATTGCTAAAAATCTCCTGTGATGGAGATTTTAGAGGTTTTTTCAGCAAAATGTGCTGGTGCTTCATTTCTGTTATACTCAGAAACTTCTCCCAAAGTCCAACCTAAGAATTCTTTAAAGGCTAAGTAGATAACTTCTCATCCCATAACCAGTGGACCCAGAAGAGTTAATCACTTTTCTTCTTGCAAAAACACACCATGTTTGGAGACTGTTGAGGTATTTTCCTTCAGTCTTCTTTTTCTGGTTTTCTGGGTCTTTTTGGGGTGGGTTGTTTGTTTCTTTGGGTTTTGGGGTTGTTTTTTTTTTTTGTTTTAGTTTGGTTTATTTGAGGAGGGGGTTGTTGTTTTTGTGGGTTTTTTTGTTTGGTTTTTTTTCCCCTTTGTAGATGAGGAAACTGAGAAGTTTCCAAGTTCTTTACAGGTCATGTTTTCTGAACGTGTAGATCATTGCTGTTCCCCTTTTTTAAACTCTTTTAGTTCATTCTTGAGTTTAATCCCTAAAACTGAATGCAGTATCCCAGCTGGCATCTAACCAGGGAATGTGTAGCACAGATGCTCCATGTCTTACCTATAACACATTTGTAAATAGTGTGATTTTTGTTTTTTTTTTTTTAATTTCCAAGAAACTGACATTGTAGTCTCACATTTAGTTTCACTCCCAGGTCTTTTGCTTGCATGACTGCTGGAAGTCAATCCTTTCCCATTTCATTTTTGCATTTGATTATTGTATAACACACTCTACTTAGCCATATCAAAGTGCACCCTGGTTTTTAAAGCATTGCAGCAATTCTCAAGATTATTTTAAGTTCTAGGGCTGTCCCTAAAAGAGCAGCTTCTTTTACCACTGAGTCACTTTGAGTCACTTGAAAATGTGGTCAGGTTATTCATTATTTCTTCCTTGAGTCATCAGTGGAAACACTGAGTGATGTTAGAGAGAGCACAGACCTCTGTGGAACCCTCTCTTAAACCCTTCCAGTGAGATAAAGAAACCTCTGTGCCTTCCTTGAGAATATTGTTGTGACCTTTAGCAGTTGTTTCACCCAGACAATCTGGGTGAATCATTAGAGAGGCTGAAAGTGCTGTGGCTTTGGTTGCACACCTTGACTGTTGCTGATGTTCCTTCTTTCCTAGATCTCCTTAAAATGTCTCTTACACATCTCAGAATCAAACTTACACCAAAGAGCGTAAGGCAAGATGGCAGGAAACTACATAAAAAATTATTTTCTGCTGATGTTAATTGTTGTTCACATCCCTGAACCATCCCTATGACTTAAATACTCAGCATGTGCTTATGAAAAGGATGGGATTCCTTCAGTAGGACACAGGAACTGAAAGGGCTCCTAAATTATCAGAAAAAAAGATTATCAGATAAGCTTTAATGTATTCATTGTAAGAGCATCTATAATTTACAGGACTGATTTATTTCCACAGACTATTAGTCATTCCTCACTACCTTTACCCTAGGAAGTTAAAGAAACAACCAGAGACAAAGTAAGCAGTTACCTATTAAAATTTACACTCCAGCCTTCCCTAAAAATCTCTTTTGTTTACATCTACTTTTGTGACTTTTGCAGTTGTATCAACCATGAATTTTTACTTTGTGTCTACAAAGACTGATGCCTCTGCTGTATTAAGGTCATGTTGTAGGTCCACGTTTTTTGGCATAAATAACGTTATTGTAAAAATGTGACAAAGAAGAAATGTACTCAGGCAGTTTTGGGTTTGTGCATATTTCTCTCCTAAACTTTTCTCTCTAGCATTTATGTCACCTGGCAATATTTAGGGTACAAGTTCTGTCACAGCGGGTGTCTCAAACAGTTAAATTGGGTTACCTGACACACTCTGAGAGCAAACTTTTGAAGTATAATTTGGATAAATCCCTTGGTTATAGTTCAGGGAAACTTTCTGTGGCAGTAGAACAAAAAAATTAAATATTCACAAAACAGAGGTAGGAAACGTTACAAGATGTAATACCACCCTATTGGAAATAACAGCTCCTTTTCAAGAAATATTTTTTGTTTTATCTTTAGCCAGTAATCCTGCTGTAAAATGACAGAGGGAGTTTGTAGAGAGACAATACTGTTAAAAATATCTTTTAATTTGTCTAATCCTGTCCAGGATGAACAGGATGGTGTTTGGACCATGATTTAGGCTGATTTCAGAGTGTGTTGTTCCCAGAAGGTGTGGTCCCACTGTCACTCCTGAACAATTCGAGTGCCAGTGCTGATACAGCTGAACAGTGAGTTGGATCAGGAGCTGATCTGGATAAAGCCCAATCTTTTCTTTCAGTCCCTTTGGTTTTCAGCTGCATCAGTTTCCTGTTCTGACTCACTGTGTTGCCCACAAGCCAAAAGGAGCCAGAATGCAAAGCGAGGAGCAAAAGGAACGCCATGATCAGCAGCTTGTTCCAAAATTGGTTTAAACAAATCGTGAGGCTGCAGGCACATTGGAGGATGGGGTTTCAGCCTTTAGTTCTCCATTTCCTTTGGGTTTCTTTTTTGAGCAGTGTGGATGGTACATGTTTCCATTACAAATCTCTGTTGTATATTAAATTACTGCCTTTTTATTATCCTGAGCTTGTCATAGTACTCTTGGTCTGGATGTAGGTTCTGCCACTGTAAAACTCTGATCTTGCAGTGAGCTCTGGGGTTTGTAGCATGAAATAGGCTTAAATGACTTCTTATAAACATCTTGTGTTCTGTAGCAGTGAAATTCAATGCACACCTTTCAAGTCTCAGTGTCACTTCCAGCTACAAAAACGTTGGAGTTGTATTTCCCCATGGCTGGTGCTTACTAGATAATTATGGGGAGTGAATTAAAATAAAAAGAAACAAAATCATGGCAGTTATTTCTAATCAGATATGTCATCTTCTTCTCTGCCTTTGATTAAGAAAAGATGTTAAAAACTCTTATCAGTATCAAGGTACACGATAAGGAAGATAAATAATTTAGAGCTTTTAAAGCCAGCTCCCAGAAGGAATTAAAAGCTTCCAAAGTGTTTTAATTAGTAGGCTGAAAATATTATAAACTAATATGAACTGCTCTGCTATCTTGTGTGACTGGTCAGTTAGAACATTTACTGAAATCCTAGAAGCTTTTTTAAAACACACCTATGAATGAAATATTTCAGAGGGTTTTTTTCAAAGGATCTTTACAGTAAAGAAGAACTGGCTATTGTTCACTTCCTCCTATATCCTTAAAAGTGTCCTTAGATAGCTTGGGAAAAGAAAAAAGCTGTCACCAGCAGTTTGTTTCCTGGACTTGAGAAATTACGAGACATCTTTCTGTTTTCCCATAAATTTTGTCTCTCTCTGCCCATCATAGTTTTATTTTCATTATCTTTCATCTTTCCCTACGTTTTATCCACATTACTGTGCTGGGTCCGACCAACCTTCCCTCCTTGAAGGGCTTGCTGAACTTTTGAAGCCTGAGCTTCCCCTTGGGACCAGTAGGTTTAAAATGTTCCTTGACGACTCCCGTGACTCCTTTGGAGCGCCATCCATGTGTGTCAGCTGCCATTGCCAAAGGAATAATCCCTTTATCCCCTTCTGCAGCATCCGTGTCTGAACCGCTCCCGCTGAGCTCCCTGAGCAGCCAGCGGGACCTGCGCATTTGGGCTGAGGAAGCCCAGCCAGAGCTTTACCACACTGCCAAAATAAATGTAAATGACGAATCTATTTCGAATATTTCCTCATTTCTGCTCTAGCCTGGCTCAGGGGCTCTGATGCAGTAAATCCCATCGCTCGTGAAGTGACGCGTCCCGTCCTTCAGTCGCTGCTCCGGGAGGGCAGAGCCGCGCCGCTCACCCGGGAGACGCCGACATTCGGGATAATCTTGAATTGTAACTTAATCTGGAATTGTTTTACATGGAAACCAGCGCGCCCGTGCCCAGAGGGGTACCCCGGGATGGAGCGGGAACCCCGGCATAGAGGGCACCTCGGGACAGAGCGAGTATCCCGAAACAGGGAACACCCCGGGATGGAGGGTACCCCGGGATGGCGGATACCCCGGGATAGAGGGGGTATCCCGACACAGAAAACATCCCGAGATAGAGCGGGTATCCCGACAGAGGACAGCCGGGGATAGAGCGGGTATCTCGGGATAGAGGGCACGGCGTGATGGCGGTACCCGAGACAGAGCGGGTATCCCGGGATAGAGGGCACGCCGGGGCCGGGATAGCGGCGCGGCGCACTGCGGGAGCTCCCGTCACACACAGGGGAAACCCCCTCGACACCCTTACACCCCCCCGGGGCGCAGTGGAACCGTCCGTTTCCCCGCCGCTGCCTCGCAGGTGAACGCGCGGGAGCGTACCAAGCTCCGCTGGCGGGGGGAGCAAAGGGTTTCCCCCGGTCCACCTTCAGTCGCACCGCTCTAGTCCAGGGCAGCCCGGAGAACAACCGAGGCTGCGGAACGGGCTGCGAGAGGCGCCTACCCCGGCAGAGCTCTCGGGACACTAACCTCCCCCTCCTTCTCCTCCCCTTTCCACGCGGAAGTGGTAGCTCCCTCCCCCTCCCGCCGCTGACCAACGGGCTCGACTGCAGCAAAACGGAACGTACCAATCTCTCCGCCGGGGGGAGGGGGGAGCGGCGAGGCGTGGCGGGAAGCGCCGTCCTGTGAACGGGCGCCCGGGGAGCCGCTCCCGCCGAGCGGGGAAGAGGCGGCGCCCGCAGGAGGCACGGCCGGGAAGCCGGAGCGAGCTCGGGGGGAGCCCGGCGGTTCATGGGCTGGGGGAGGGCGAGCCTCGGTTCCTCCTCCGGTTCCTCCCCCCGCGGTGTGTGCGAGCGGCAGCGTGTGCGGAGGCCGAGGGGCAGCTGCCGCTGTCCCGCCTTCCCTCCCCTCCGCCCGCTCCGCGCCGCCACTCCCGACCCGATGCCGCCGCGGGGCCGGTGAGTCCGCGCCTGGATGCTCATCTCCTTCTCCTCTCTTCCCTCCCGCAGGCGGCGGCAGCGGCTCCGGCTCCCTTGCAGCTCCCGGCCGCCTCCGAAGGGATGCTGGAGAAACTAGAGCTCGAAGATGAAGGTAAAAATCCGCGGCGGCAGCGGGGGGCCGGGGGCGGGCCGGGGACACCCACGCGGCCGGCGGGGTCCGGGCGGGAGCGGGGGATCCCCGGCGGGGAGCGCGGGATGCGCCGTGCCCGGGCCGTGTCCTTGCGGGGCGGGTCGCAGCCTCGCCGGCCGCGGAGCCAGCCCGGTCCCGCTGCGGAGCTTTTGTCCCGGTGCCGATCCCGCTGCGGAGCTTTTGTCCCGGTGCCGATGCCGCTGCGGCGCCCTTGTGCCGCTGCCGCCGCCGGGCCGTGCCCGATCCGCCGCTGCCGCCGGCCGGGTCCCGCTGCCTTCATGGCACCCCCTCCTCCTCCTCCTCCCCGTAAAAAACCCCTTCTCCTCGAATACGTCTGCGATACCAAATATAGACTTTGAGAGCAGTGATGGAAAGCTCTTTCAAGTAAAGCTTCCACTCCTTATGGCAGCGCATACATCTGTTGGAAGCGGCAGCTGTACGCTGAATTTTCCTTATGTGGCTGCGCTCTGTGGTTGTTCTTCGCTGTGCTCTGAAGGGCTGCAGTTCTGACTGAGTGTGCTGTGCTTTCACACGGCAACTCCTGGCAAGTTTTTCCCTCTCGCAGGCACTAAACCGTGCTGTGGGGAAGCACGGATGGTTTTTTTTTCCTCCAGCTTACACCAAGCAGTCACTTCACCTCTGAAAGATCCTGAATATCTCGAGCTTTCATTTTCAGAAAGGATTAGCTTAGTGGATGCAAATGTGGACGCATGGCTTAATCTCTATGCTCAGCATTGTGAAGTGGCTAAGACTTCATGGGATGTGTTTTTTTGTGGTTGGTAACTCTTATTGTAAAATGTAGGACAAATATTTAAGGAAAACTTTGAAAATAGCAGGCTGAGTCATTCTGGGAGAAGATATATCTAAGCTGGTATGCTAATAAGGCAGCTTCTTGGTTACTAGCATGCTGCCTGCAGTTGTGGGACTGGTCTGGAAAAGTAACACCTTTTATTTTCATCTTTCTGTGTGTGAGAAAAGGAAGCTCTTAACAATTGCATTCTTTGAGCTGCCTTTTTTTTTTTTTTTTTTTTTTTTTGAGTCCAGACAGAGTTTGAATTGCAGTTAAATACTTGTGCCTTTGTGCATCTTGAACATGCTGAAGTATGAATATTTGGTGCAGGGGATCTGTTGCTAAGTTGTAGGGTTATTTTTCCTCACACTGTTTAACTGTTTTTAGTTAGGCATTCATGTTATGCTTATGGAGACGTAGAAAGTTACCGATTTACCTGTTTTATTTTTACATAAAGCTTGCTACTGTGAGATACAGGTTCTTAAAACCTGCTGAATCATTAATAGTTAAGGCTTTTAAAAATCTATTTAAAATATCTTACAAATTTAGATATATGAAAAGGATCTCTAGGTTAAAAAAAATTTGAAACGACAAACCTTCAGTTTTGAAACACCTTTACACTTTTAAAAGTGTAATGTGGAGTTATGTGGAGACACTTGATAAGGGTGAAGATCTGTGTGTCTTCTAAAACCCTGCAATAAAATAATACGAATTCTTTAGGAAATTTAGTAGTTTAAACCATTTTTTTATGTTTTTCAAGCTTCTGTTTTGCTTTTGTCTTCTAATTCATTTGGCTGGGAGGGTGAGAGGAGTTCAGGGGCCTGTCAAAAGATCATGGCTAACAGCAAGTTTAAAGTAGGGTGTGGGTTTTGAAAGGAAGCAGTCACCTTATTAGCCTTTCAGGCTAAATGAGAAACTGGCTTGAGGCTTAATTTTAAAGCCAAGGGTAAAAGGGTTAGAGTGCTGTGTTCAGAACCTGGGGTGTGAGTAAAAGTGAGGGTGTGAGAGTCAGACCAAAAGCTGCTGCCCAGAGTGCTTCTGTGTGAGAGGGCCCAGGGAAAGAGAAGCTCAGAAAGTTGAGATGCAGCTGGAAATGCAGCTTAGTTGCAGTACCTGTTTTATGACCTAAATTTCTGCACTGGTTGCTGTCATTGTGTTTGTGCTAATATTGGAGGTGGGAGAGTAAGAGGCATCTGAAATGTTCACTTTGTTGTTGGATAGCAGGTGGTGAGTGCTCAGAAGTTGAGAAACACCTCTGAAGTCTTGATAAGGTTTCATTGAGTGGCTGTAGCCAAACTGTAACTGGTGATCTTTTGTCAAACTTTAAGTTTCTCTGCTGATGCTTAAACTGTGGGTTGAATGAGAACTTTAACACTTGTTTTAGAGCTGCTTTCCTGACTGCCTCTGCTTTGGGAGTACTTGCTCTTCTGTATCCATCAACAGTTGCTAACTATCTTGTGTATCAAATTATGCAGCAGTTCTGTTGAAATAGGGAGCTTAATAAAAAGAGCTGAAAAATGAGGCTCAATGAGTCTGTGGAATGCCATCCAGTATGTGAAGTGGATCTGTTAGTCCCTCTCCTCAAAGGTTACACAAATGAGAATATAAAAGCACAGAAGGCATTCATTTAATTTGGATTCTAATTAAGAGGGTGAATTGGAAAAAAGAATGGTGCTATAAAGATTTATGATTTATGTAGTACTGAAATGAAATATGCAGAGTCTGGCCTGATGGTGTGACTTCTAAATAAAACAGTGGTGTCGAGTGAAGAGCAATTTTAATTTTCTTTATGTAAAAAGAATGTATATGAGCTATTTTGTACCTAATTAGCATGGACAGTGTTAGATAGGATGCTATTGTTGCAGAGAGAAGTGCTGGTCGTGTTTTTAGCCTAAAACATCTTCATATATCTGGCTGAACTCTAAGATCAGTGTAACTTCTCACTGGAGGGTCAGTGGTTCTGTCTAGGACTGGCTTCATAATGTTGCTTTGGTGATGTGTAAGTGTAAATGTCAGTGAGGTGATGTTAAACAGCACCAGGGCACCATGGCTGGAACAGGCTGTGGGCTCAGTATGTGCACACAGGAGAAGGACTGCATAGGCCAAGGATATTTATTTTATTTAGGGCTCCCTACAGAACCTTCCTCCAAGCAGCAGTCAGTGCAGGAAAGGAAAAACTCCCATAGAAGAAGTCCAGAGTCTCTTTTTAACTGAAGAATGCTCAGCTTAAAAATAAACAGAAAATTCTGAGTAATGACCTCATCCTGCTCAGTATTTCTTTGGATGGGAATGACCTGCCTACATTTGCTCAAAAAGTTTGAGAGCTACCTGTTGATGGGTGTGCAGTTTTTCATTGTAGCCTGAAATACAGTGCTGAGAGGCCTCTCATGAATGTAACAAATGATCAAAAACTGGTTAGCTTCATACACATTATGGATTTTCCTTTTCAGCTCTAGTGTATGTGCAATAATGTGTCTGGAGTAAGATTATTTCTACTGATCAGTCAAGAGTAGTTCTGGGTTTTCTTTTATGGATGATATGATGAGCTTGGAAAAGGACATGGAGAAATTATTCTGAAGATCTAATATAAAAAAGGACTTTAGTTAATAATTTACACTTACAAGCTTATTTTGTTAAGCTGGGATTCCATAAATGGTTGTGTTCCAACATCTACCTGTGCTCTGAAAGGAGAAACTAGGTTAGAGTAGCAAATCAGCCTGTCAGGTGTATTGATTCAGTGGGTATAGTTTTAGCATGTTATTTTGGAAACCAGTTTTGTTGCAATGTTGCCTCTCATCCATGTTATTCTCTTCCTTCTGCTCACCTTGAGTAATGCAGTAGTAGCTGCTGAAAGCAGAATTAACTACTCCTCTGTAGCACCTGCAAACCCCTTTGGAGGTGCTTTGTGCAGACTGAGTTCATTTAATTGCAGGCTTCTGCTGTGTCTGTGCTCAATTCCTAGTCTGGAAAAAGGGAATTCTGCAGAGTGTGTGCAGCAGTTGCAGCATCAGCATCATGGGACCGATGTGCTCCCTCTTGAACACTCTGCTTCTCTGGATTGTTGCACAAAGCAGCTTTTAGACATTGGATAAACAGTTTGCATTAGAGTGGAATCTCTCCTAGTAGTGATCTGGCCTTCATCTCACTCTCTCTGAATTGTGCATCTCTTCTGTTACCTGCTGTCTCCTGAAATAGACTTTCACCAGTAATTGCATCTTCACTGCTGTTGTGTCTGGGGTCATTCCTTGCCTGCTCTGTGGATTTTCTTACTGTGTCTTATTAAAAATAGTTTCTTGAGCTCTTCCTGCCTTCCAGCCTCCCGCTGTCAAGTGAATATCTGAATCAAGGTATGAAAACAGATGTCACTCTAGGGCCAAAAATAATTAAAAGAAGCTTGTAATAAAATGCATGTTAATAGGCAGGTTGGGTTTTAAGACTGAAGGATCAAGTGCTTGGGTTAGGAGGTGGTAAAGTTAAGCCATTGTTTTGCAACTGTAATTAATTTCTAATAAACATTCATTACATGATTGTTTAAGCTGATGTGCTCTGGCACACAGAAAATGTATTTTGCCCACAAGATATGCTTTGAGATACCAAGGGACATGGTGATAGTGATAAGGGGATGTTTTGTATTAAATTTTACATAGTTTAGAATCCTGAGTGAATGTAGTAAGAAGTTGTTAAGCAGAGATGATAATTGTTATTAATAGATTTCATACAATCTTTCCTATAATCTACTTTACAAAGTTGTTAAAGAGCAACATATCTGGAGTATTTGCATGTTCAGCTTTATTAGTTTATACAAGAAATCATGATTGAGTGCTACACTGCTCTGGGCACCCTTGTCCTTTGCCTTCCAGTTGGCTATATGGGAACACCATACATAATTTTTCTTCCCCCAGGAAACTTCCATCCTCATATTTTAAAGATGAAAATAAAGCATAAAGTGATATGTAATTAAAAGTGTAAAACTTCATTGAGCAGTGCAAGAGAAGATGCTGGAAGTTTTGTTGTCCTCGGTGAAGGCTGTTCCTGTGATCCACACAGGAGTCTTTATCTTGTGCAAGTATTGAAGGGGTTCGTGTCAGCCCAGTGCTCACTGTGTCCAAACAGCCCTGTTTTCCTACTCCTACAGAGGATACAACTGTCTTATTCTTGATATGGTATTTAG